CGACGACAGGCCGCCTCTGTTTACCGCCTCGTGGTCATACCCTTATATAGAACAGAGACTCACCGGGCCGGATAACCACCGAAAACACATCTCCCAGCAGTCATGGTACATTATTTCAATGAGGAGCGAATGGGAGAGAAAATGGAAGCACTGTCTGTTTATGTGTGTTTGCTTTTCCCCTGGTTCTCTTTGTTCCTTGCTCTGTTGCTCATTATCTCCATTATGTTTATTCTCCTTAAAAGCCCCCATTCTAAAATATTTTCTGCGTCTAACCTCTAAACCTCACAAACAGCTCATATCCTGTGTTTAGACAGTGAAATACAACCAGTTTGTGCACTCACACACCAGTAGGGGGGGGGGGGTTGAGGAGACGTGTGTATGTATGCGTGTGTATGTATGCGTGTGTGTGTTCTTAAGGGGGTGGGGGGGGCATGTGCTGATGGACAGCACATGCTGGTGCTGGTCTGGGGTTTAGATCAGTGCAGGGTTATCATTACTGACCCCCCTGCTGTGTTTCCGCGACCCCTCATCCGTGAGTTTTGACCTCTTACCCCCCCACGACTCCTGTCAGAGCCTGAGAGACAGCGGGGCCGAGTGGACAGGACTACCCCCCCCCCCCCCCCCCGCGGTGACACTGACGCATGGGGACACACATGGGAGAAAAAACATATACACAAACACACACCATTTGTTGCTTACTTTACCCCACACCTTTTGTTGCCCTTTCCCCCCCATGGAAAGAGCAGCAGTAGGAGTGGGGGTGTGGGGGTGAGGGGGTGAGGGGTGATCAAGGGAGAAGACAAACGGAGCCGGAGTGGAGACATCGGGGGTGGACAAGAAAAAAAAGACAGTTGCAAGATTCAGAGGAATGTCCACTCCCTGTGCATCTTCTCCTCGTCTCAAAGCATGTCTGCCACGTTCGGCCGTTAATCAGGCCAGATAAGCCAGGTCTTTATAGGTGAGCAGATTTACACCGCTCTGCTGTCCGGCTGGACCGCATTCCCAATAGAGACGGTGGGATAACGCTCTCACATCTTCAAGGCGGAGATAAGCTGGCCTAAAGGAGCCTCAACACACAGACAAACACACACATCTACTGTACAGGAAAAGCAGGTAAAGTGTGTTCACTGCAGGTGCTCCCTGTCCCTCCTTTTTAGCTTTCTCCCTCACACACACACACACACACCAAACATGGCCATTGTCTCAGTGATAAATGAAGTGTGACATGGTGTATGCACAGGCCGCGGTGGAATAAATAAAGCAAGGCTCTTCCTGTTGCAAAGGACAACAACATTAACATAATACCAAGACGAATACTATATAAGATTACTGCTGACGCGAGAATGTTACAGTATATGAGCCTAATGATGATCCACCATCAGGCGGGATCCGGCACGGCCTCTCTCCCTCGAGAAGGATTTAAAACCACCTCTTGTTATGTGAGTTCATGGAGTGAAACACGGAGGAGTATTCTCAACACAGCAAAAAAACAAGAGTGTGGTACAAAAGCAAATGTGACCTTAGGTAAAGTCAATGTTTCCTCTTTGATGCACATGTCACTAATAGAGTTGGTTAAAATATTTATGATGTAATCAGGACACAATATGTGGAGCAGCCCCGCTAGCAGCCGGCTAGGAAAAACTTTGAGCAGACGCCGAGAATGCCGAAGGTGTTTTCCAAAGACATGTGGGTGTAATAAAGCTCAAAGAAATATTTCTTAAAGTCCACATGACATGTTGCCACAGGAGCGGCCCCCAAAATATCGTTGCTTGATAACATCACAAGCTTTATGCTTCCCCGCATTCTGGCTTTGAGGGAGACTTCGCAAATATCGCTTGAGCTGCGCCAGAACAAAAGGAGAAACATGTGCAAGATGTATTTTAGTGATAGAAAGAGGCTATTCTTTTGGTAAAGAAACATGAAGGATAAAAACATTCTGAAGCCAACATGAAGTTAAATGATGAAAAGTTAGTAGTGTTAATTACGCTTCATAAGAGAAGATGAGTGATGAATCCGTTTTCTTTCCGGCTTCCGACTCGATGCAGATTTTCAGTAGGCTTCAAGGCAGCGTGTTGCATGTTTGGATTAAGTTTAGAGATCGTATCTCAAAGTCACGATTATCTCTGATCATTTCAATGATGAAGTGAGGAATCAATTACAGATGTGGCACAACTCCCAACTGACAAATCCAACCCAACACATGTTAGGATTTAAGGAAAACTCAAGTCATTCCAGGAAATGTAGGAAATGACTAACTGAAGTAATAATTAGATAAGGCTCGAGTCACGTCTACAATAACATTGTCTTGTGCTTTATAAACGGAGCTATAGCATGTTAGCTTCTGCAGCTTCCGAGCTAACAAGATGGAGAATCTAAGCTTTGACCCCTCACATGAAATATAAGCGTTGTTCCGGCCCACTTGTGGGTTATAAATCCTATTAAAAAGACCAAAACCAACAATGTGTTGTTACCCCCGACTTCACTACTCTGTCAATGGCGGCCCCAAGCCCCTTTGTTCCTGCCTAAGACGTAAATCTTTAAAAATCGGTCACGCAAGAAATGCAGAGCTGATCTAAACCGCCATAATGGTGGGTGGACAGACTTTATTGAGGGGATGGAAAAAGACTTGGAAAAGTGGCCCCATATGAAAAACTGTCTTTATAAAAACAGATGGGAAGATAGGGACTTAAAATGGGGAAAGTACCAGATCTAAATCCCTGATGATAAATCATTTTGAATCATTCAAAATGTGTTTGTTTACTTTTAATATAAAATGCAACCGAGAGCTTTTGGTATCTATTTTAATAAAGATTAGACGATTCACTCGTTATCTTTTTATTTATTTTTTACTGTCATTTTCATATACATTTTCTATTTTATTAGCTTGAATTATTTTATAATTGTTAAAGCTTAGCGTTAATGCAATCAACATGTCACACAATATATTGCATCGATAAACACCATTTACATTTACAGGAAAACAAATGAATTATTATTCGTAATATTTTCATTTAATTGTTTTTCATATGGCATCAGCCATTTATATGAGGCTTTAACTTCTGAGGAAATGCTTGTTATTAGGATGAATGTGTTGTTGTTGTTCTGGCCTGTTTTGGGGATTTTCTAATAATTAGAATCATTATCCTTATCCATTACAGCAAGATATATCAGATTATATCACTGGGGTTGTGCCTACAACCTTTTTTCCATATATTATGCATGCATCATTTTGTAGTCGTGTGCTATGGGGGTTATAGACTTTATTTAACAACAAGATACTTGCAAAAACATTTCCTTGGTGACCTGACCAACGTGTGTGGTGTGGACTAAGTCCGTTTGAATGATTTAAACCTGGAAATCACTGAGACTCAGCTACTACCAAGTCCAGAGACTAACTGTTATCTCCACCAGCTTCTCCACAAACCCCTGCTGAACCTCCATCTATCGGTGACGTTCAGGCCAGGGAGGGAGAAAATAAGTACCAGAGCGTTCAAAATAATCTATGGTTATCTATAAGAGAGTCCATAAGAGACTCTGCTGTGACTCCAGCTCCACTGACCCCTCCTGCTGATCTGAGATCATTTCTGCAGCTGGATTCAAACTGAGCGGCCGACCTCCGGTCCACAGACCGCTGAGGAGTCCCCTCCATCTGACACCCCTTATATATAATGTCTCTATAAAATAAATACTTTAAAATGTAAAACAAATACATATTGTGGTCATGTGTAAACTGTGCTCCGCTGTGTAAAATATGAACATTTTAAAATATATTTTGTTTTATCCTCAAATTAATGCTCAGGTGTAAATGAAAAATGTTTACAATATAGTACCAGTTTTTTGACCTTACCTTTCTTTTCTTTAAATACTAAAATAGATACATTTTAATGTAAAAATAAAAATACCGGTTCATGTATATACTGTGCTCTACTGCTTAAAGTATTACGTTTTTATTCAAATATTGTTTTATAAATTATTGCTCAGGTGTAATTTAAACGTTTCAGTCTCAGGTTGTTTTGTGGTTTCTGTTTCTCTTTTTTACGACTTCTTCTATCTCTTCCTTTCTTTATCTACTTAGTGCAAATCCACTACTGCTACAGAATATTTATTTATCTGCAAAACTATGATTTAAAAAGCAAGTAAGTTAGAAATAATAAATAACTCACAGACAGTCTGAAAGTCTGGAAGGGAAGCGCACAATGTTTACACAAGACAAAATATTTAGTCTTTACTTCAGTTTATAGTTTTACCACAAATAAAAAATATTAAATTACAATTGAAGCTACAAACACAATGTTGCTTATGAAAATGTTTGCAAGTGTTATCAGAAACATATAATCATTGTAGTCAAAGTAAAAGACCTCATTGTGCAGAATGACCTCTTTTCAAGAATGACTTCTAGGACGTTTTTACACGTCTGTAATTTCCTTGCTATTTTCCAGGAAATGACTATATAATGTGTTACTAATTACAGGGGAAATGGGATGTTTCCTGAAAGAAAAGCTACATTATAATCCAAATACATATTTGTTTATAAGTCATTTATCATACGAAATGTTATCCTCCAAAGCTGTTTTTGCATTTCCAACTGACCCGCTGTAACGTGGCTCGCAGAAACCCACTAGAAATTCATTGGAATTCATTAAATAGGAGGTAAAAAAAGAACACTTTTTTTCCAAATAAAGAAAACCTAATTAGATGGGGAGAAAAATACTCAGTATTGTACTAAAGTAAGCTAGTGCTTGAGTAAATGTCAGTCAAGTGTGGTTTTGTATGCACAACTCCCTAAATGCCACTAATACTGTACCATAAGCGAGGCACGTCACCTCCATTTGTTGCATGGAGCTGCTGTACTGGCCATTAAAATACAGTTTACCGGGAAACTCCCAGGTGTGACCGCGTGTAACTGAGTGTGAAGCAGATTATTACTCTTCGCTTCTGTGGTTAAATGAAGGTTAAAGAGCTCAAAAGTGGCAATAAATCATCTTTTAAGACAAACTTACAGGTGATGTAGTAGTTGACGTTCTTCTTGAACTCCAGGCCCATGTAGTTGGGGCTGAACTCCTGGAACTTGATGGTGAACTTGATGTCCTTCTCGGGCTTGTTGCAGTTGACCAGGACATTGGGATCGAGGACTGTACTGCAGGTGTCCGCCTGCTCCCTCTTCACCAGGTACAGCTTGTAGAACTCGTACTCTCTGCCATCGTCCGCTTTGGGACAGATGATGTCCAGCTTGTCCCCGATGTCTGGGTATATCACAAGACCCTTACCCATCAGAAACCTGAGGGACGAAAACAAAGAAGATACTTTAGCAACACATATTTAAAGGAAGTCTGGAAAAGCAGCCACATGATTCAACAACAGTTTATACAGACTTAGTACTTTGAGCTATAGGAGTTATGGGTTTAGATTTGTCTGGCATTGGCTTTTAGGCCGTGCGTAGTTAATTCACCCCCTCTAAAACTACATGTAGCAGCTCGACATTGTTCAGCGCGAGTCGACAGAGCGTTTCACACAAATCCTCTAAAGTTTCTTTTCATACTTGGATCCGAATCAAAGCATACCAAAAGTTTGCGATGAGGGGAAACAAGATGGCCAAACACAAAATGGCTGCCGCAGAAGTGGCTACAGATAGGATTACACCCGGGGAATGCCTCTAAATCCTTTTTTCATATTTTTGGACTTCCACGTAAGACCTGTGCTTCTTGTACTTCAGAGGTCCGAGTTTCTGGAGGAAAACAAAGTGCGGGGGTCAACAGGAAGGTTAAGGCTTCCCGGTTCATCTTCCCTCCGCCATGATCCTCTACTGGAGGATTAAGATAATCCATCTGGCCTTACTGTACCTCTCCACCTCGCTCTCTGCTGCCAACTCAATCAGATCAGCTCTTGCTCTCTTTTATTCACAAAAGGTGGGGAAACAGGAGGAGACCCAGTGTGTGTGTGTGTGTGTGTGTGTGTGTGTGTGTGAACAGAGGGGGTGGAGGTTCACTGAGTACTTGCAGTGTGTTTGGGCAGTGGTGTGTATGTTTATGCCCATCTCCATGTGTGTGTGCGTGTGAGCGCCGGTCAGCAAAATGGGCTGGGGTTGCGGTCTGATGAGGGGGGTAGGGGTTGGGGGGCAGATGGGCTGAATCATTGTTCTGGACTTGTTTGAGGCTTAAAATGTCAACATGATTCAGCTCTGCTGTCCCAGTTAGCCAAGCACTAACCCAGACAGCCGGACTGACCACGGGTGTGTTTATGTACGGGTGTGTGTGTGTGTGTGTGTGTGTGTGTGTGTGTGTGTGTGTGTGTGTGTGTGTGTGTGTGTGTGTGTGTGTGTGTGTGTGTGTGTGTGTGTGTATTGTGGTCGCAGACAGCGAGCACAGCAGCAAGGCTATCTGCTAGATCTGCCCATGCCAGCGGATTTAAGCAGGATTTAGCCGCGTGCAATGCATTTGTTGTTCTTCCTGATCCCTCACGTTTTAACAAGACATCAGGGGCCGGGCCTCCCTCTGTCTCTCCCTTCTTCCTCACTCCGAGTGTAATCTCACCTTATCTACAGCCCCTCATTTCATCATCACACACATCATTTCACCACTAAATAACTGGCTCTTCAGACAGGCCCGGGGAAGGGAGGACTGTGAAAGAGACTGATAGGGGAGTGTGTAAGTGTAGAAGTGGGGGGGTTATGATCTCAATCCCTCCTGCACTGATGTTAAACACTGGCAATTGGCCAGCCATTGTAAGAAAAGATCATTTAGAAGAAGAAAAGAGTCCCATTTTCTGAAAAATACCCCCCATGAAAATGAACATGATTGGATTAAGGCCTTTTCAACAATCATGGCTATTCTTCTTTGACCGGGGCATTACCAAATATATGACTTGATTAAAAAAAGAGATAAATGCAACATGTAATACTCAAAACGATCAAAACCTGTCAATCAAACCCCACTTTTTTTCAGAGCAGTATGATGTCATTGAACATGCGCAGATAGGATCTCGTTGACGGGCTTGGGAGCGGGTGAGACGTTATTTACACACTATTGTCTGATGCCCGTGGGGGCGAGGGGAGGGGTTGCACTAATTCAAGGGCCGATAAGAGCGAGAATGCGGGGTCTGCTTTGTCCCACCCCTCCTCACCATTTGCTGGTTAGAGCAGCAACACTCTGCATGTGCTCACAGACGTGTGCATTAGCGTACATATGTTTTTCAGGCGTGTGCACGCCGCGAAACACGTGCGTGTGTCTATGAAGACACGGACACAATCAGCCTCTAATTGGATCTACAAGATGCATCAGTGAGGCATAAACAAGTTTCCATGGCAACATTAGGCTTTGTTGCTGACCACCCCCTCTACTCCCACCTTCTCTCTATTTCCCCCCAATCTCAGCCCCCCTCTATTTCTGCTCCCAAATCTCAATCCCTCTCGCTTTATCCTCATTCACCTCCTCAACATTTCCCTCATTCGGTTTTCTCTCATCACCCTCTTCATCCTCCCCCTCTCTCAGCACTCACAAAAACACCTACAGAAAAACAAGCGCGGGGGAAAAGAAAGAGCGGCAAACATCACAATTACACCTTGATTTGATTCACTCCACAAGTAGCTGTTTTCTATTTTCCGTTTCTTCGTAGGGAAGAAGTTGGCAAGTTTTTCTCCAAATGTTCCATTACTAGAGAATAAAACTGACTTAAAAGCTCAGCTCTCAAATGAAACAATGAGCCTCACGTCCAACTACCCAGTTTCACAAGCCATTTCTTTCTTTATCAAAGCGAGCTGCTACAATTTAGATGAATAATTAAGATTTCCAAAAATCTTAATATCATAATATCCCTGAAGGATTTAATCACAAGCCGGCCCCTGTCATTGATTCAATTTTCCGAGCCGGCCTCCTAGTCGACGGTTAGATAGCTATCCTAAGTGAATTCTCCGCTTCTGTTTCCCAGCCTTTGTTAACTGTCTGCTATAATGAGGCTCTGGCTGCTGTGGAGGTCTGGAAGCGCCATCGCAGATGGGAAAGAAGCAACATAAAAGAAATAGGGCAGCAATTAGTGTTTAGCCCAGTTTAAAAGCCCTCCACTTGGCAAGCTGCGGCCCAGCTCCAGTCCAGGATGTGAAACTAAACTGGTGGGCTGGGACTTTGTCTCCTGTTTGTCTCTCTGTTGGCTTAATCAGCGCCACTCCGGTGCTACACACAGCCACACGCAATGGAGAGGAGGAGACGAGTGACTGAAGATTATTGTACTTTTGAGGAGGTCGAAAGGGAAAAAAGGGGGGGAAAGGGAGGTTGAATTGCATCTTTCATTCACGTTGTCTGGAGACTTTAGAAGACCTGTTGATGAAAGGGGTTTGAGAGCACAGAGGAAGAGCCTTGCAGATACAAAACGATGTTCCTGGGAAATGACCCTGAACGTGAGAGACCCTTTATTCCCCTCGTGTTAAATCTGCCTGAACCAAACACAATAAAGAGAATCATTTTCAAAACAATCAAATGAGGTTGGTTTTGTTTCATCTGGATGGCTCCACGGCATGCTCAATCCTGTAAAGAGCTTATACAAACAGGCCTACGCTACAGCACAGCGGAGAGAGAACAGAAAACAACCAAGCGGAGGGGAAGAGAGGCGAGAGGAGAACCCCCTCCTCTCTCTTTTTACATTCCACTGGTGAATATGAGCACATGATCTCACATATGCTAAACCCCCACCACCACCACCTCCCCACACACACACACACACGGATGTGAGAGCACACAAAAGCACTGTGGGGTGCATCCTGGACCTTCTAGGCCCAACTTCCCAGCCACCCCTATTCAAGCGCCCTGCCCTCGCCGACTTTCATATAAAACGCCGCCTACACTAAGGCCCACTCAAAGCCCCTTACAGAGCCTCAAACCAGCCCTCCCCCCCCCGAGCTCTCCACCCCCGTCCAGTCAACTTAGGCCTGTGCCCCGAACACAGCCCTGGCAGGCAGCCTCAGCCGCTGAATGAAAGGCCCGAGACACAGGAACTGTGAGAGAAAGAGGCAGAAACGGCTCATATCAACACAATGGATTTCAAATTGATTTGTTCCTCCTGAGCGGCAGCATGAACATACCATACATGCCAATTAAAATAAGTTACCCCATGCCATGTACACAGGGTGATCCATCTCTACCTGCCCGAATGCAGGCACCTTTAATTCTTCTTCTGCTTCCCAACATGCAATTGTTCTCTCCATTCCTCTGGTTTTAAAAATGCATCATGTAAAAACAAACACCTACAATCACAACAGGTACTCTATTCCCCTCGCCATAAGCGTGGTAATTATCACGCTAGGAAAAGTGTTCCCTCACCAATTATCATTTCTCTCTTACATTATCTGCAAAACAAATCAGTATGGCTGCTCCCCCCTTCACCACACCTCCATTATTACATATGACACTTCCCATACTGCATCCATATTTACATCAATATTCCACAGGCTTGCAGTTTCAATATTTTATGGCTTCTTATGAAACATTACAGTAAATCAGCCACATGACATGGTTACACTTAAGTCCGTAAAGAACACAAAGCCGCGTTATGCAAAGAGCATTGTGGAGCTCTTGTGTAACACATATAGCGGAGGGGATTTCAAGCGGATTCACTTGCCTGAGGCCGTCTGCATTTTGTGTAATTATAGGGTGCAAACACATCCTGTTCCCATTCCAGTCAATCAATATTAAATAATTGTCTGCTGTGAGGGACTGTGACTTAAACCGCTTTTAGATCCATCAAGATATAGGACCGCATGCTCACTCGGCATCACAATGGGAACATTCAAACGGCAGCTTCTGAAATGGCTTCAGTCTTGATGTGTGGTGAAGATCTTCAGAGCGCTGTTGACACAGTGTGATCATTTTTATACTGGGGAGAAAGGCACGTTCAATCCAACTGTCAATGTGTTTGTACGTCTCCGAGGATTTTCACCACATCTTATCGAGTCACGTGAAATGTCGGTTATTCGTGACATTCTGATATGAAACCGGTTTTGACCGAGACGTCGACACGTAGCCGCCGGCTCAACCCGAGTTTGTAGCTGGCTTCTGTCAGGATGTCACGGGGGCAGATGTTCTTAAAGAGGCCTGTCTATACACACACACACATAAACACACGCCCCGCAGTGTACACACACCGATTTCCTCACATGTCAAACACAGTAAACAAGTTGCCCCAATGCTGGTACAGGCCACAAACACACACACACACACACAGAGAGAGACACACAAATACAAGGATCCTGAAATTAAGCAAAACAAGACCCATCTGGCTCCAGAATTGTTT